GGGATTCCAATCAGATCTATCATACATTCAAACCGGAGACCAAAACCAGCAAGTGATCATACCACGACGACCAGGACGACGAGACGAAGAGATCGCCGTCGAGATCGTCGCCAGCCGTCGCCGCACGCGCCGCCACGCGCCGCCGAAAGGGAGCAGCTGCCGAGACTTACACGCGCGCGTGAGAGCGCGTGTGACCTCCGTTTTCCGGTCGGTCAACGCCGTTGACTTCGCCGTGACGTCAGCTTTCTGGATTGGTCAAGTTTGTTCGATTCCGAGAAGATTTGATTTGTGGTCAACTGTTCGGGCCAGCCAGATCTACGTAAATTTTAAGCAGTAAGTTTTCTTCATCAAACCTTTAGATCTGCTGCACATAGGTTTATGTTGAATGTTTGTCCGTGATTTGTGCATATCGAGATCCTCATATGTCCCAACAATTGGTATCAGAGCTTGAGGTTAATCCGTTATGTACAAGATCCAGATTAAACTGCTTATATTGTCTATGTGTGCTCAAGCGCAGCCATATATATTGGATTATATGCATAACTTGGTTTTGCAGGAAGTAGTTAATCCACTATTAAGGCCACCCTTTTATGTGCTTGTGCTTAATTGATGGTTGGTTGTATGGTTTTAAATTTGTTTTTAAAGCCCCAGGATTGTCGAGGAATTATGGATGAATGCTTGTATTAATTGCCCGGGGGTTGACCAGATAGTTTAATTAATTAGTAGAAGGCATGTACATCCACTCGTTGGATCTAGGAATCGATTTATGTAGTTTTGTAAGTTATATTTTTCGAATTGTGATCGACCGTTGGAGACCGGGCCTTCACAAAGATCCAAAGAGACTCGACAAAGCAAGGAAGAAACCGGAGCCGGGATCCAAGGCTGGCCGGCACGGTCGCGGCTTCTACTGGTGGAGGTTTTGTGGAACTTGCAGTACAAGTCAACCGGGATTCTACTGCAGTGGGAGTTCCAGTTGGTTTAGGACAGAAATCCTAATCCAAGGAGAATAAATATTTAATTGGTCATAATAGTGGATATTTATTTATGACATTAATTATTTATTTGTTTATTTATGCATGAGAATAATTGTTGCCTTGTGTGCATAGAATTATTTAGAATTGCATGAATATAAATATTAAAAATCCTCTGTTAAAATACTAAGTTGAGAAGGATATTTAAGGTTAAGATAATTTTAAATTCCTAAGGCCTCCATTTCTAATTCGTTGGTAAATCAATTAATTGATAGTGTGGGCTTCCCCGAGGATGACATTACTTGAAAATTAATTGAAGGATAATTACCAGAACGAATTTCTAAATTTAGACGGTTAGAGGAAATCGAATGAGAGCGTACGGGTCACCCCGAGGTGAACGTATAATCGATTTTGACGACTTTAGGACCGAGAAATGGGATTCACTTAGAATGCAATTCATTTCATAACCCCCCGAGGGGTCCCTGATTTTTATTGCATGGCCAAACGGTGACCGATTATTGATTTCGTTCGTCATGAAATTGGTTTTGACTAATGGAAATTAATGGGTTCTGGAAAAACCCTTCTTTAAAGAAACGAAGAATTAGTAGAGTTGCCCGAGCATCATACTAAATTCTCAAGGTTTAAGGATGTCGGTGAATTTAAGTTAGTATTGTTTTGAGGATGTCAATATTAACAGTTAAATTCAAAATGTTTAATCAGTAAAATATTTTCGTAATTCTCAGGTTTATTCATCATGTCGTTCAATCCGTTGTCTGTTATCCTAAAAGAAAATCAACTCACCGTGTAATATCCCGAGATATTATTAGTATAAATTACGTTTAATTCCGATATAGTAACGTTGTCGTTTATTATTTTCGGAATTAATTAAGTTCAGTCGGATTACCGAAATTTATTTTCGGCGTACCGTTTACGTCCGAAATAATTTTGTAATTAAGTATTATGTTTAATTTAACAATTAAACATCAAATGAGTGATTAATTGAGATTAATCACATATAAGCCCTAATTTTATCCAAATAGCCGTGAGATTAGGGTATAATTTTCCAAACATCTAGTACATGGCCGTGAGCTTCCTTGTGGTTAAGGAAAGTTTTTTTTAACCAATAGTAATTGAGCAAATGTCAAGCTTAGGGGATGCTTAGTCATCCATAGCTTGATTAGGAATTGAACAAGTGTGAGATGCCCAAGAGGGCCACGCTCAAGCAACATCATCACCCCTCAAACCGTACGTCTATATAAGGGTATACTTAGGGAAAATTTTGCCATTTTCTCTTAAGGTAACCGAGCACCTCTTCCAGCATAATTAGTCCCTTGTTCAGCAGCTCATATTCAGTAAATTCTCCCAAACTTCCACTCCAATCGCACGGCAATTGCACGGCAGGTGAAGCTACCGCACGGAGTCACGCGAGAAGGAAGTAAGCCCATCTTTCCGAAGTTCCGTCGAGCGATTCTTAAGGTACTTTCCTCCTCATGTTAGAAACATGTGAGTAAGTCTAGTTTAGAGTTAATCGTGCGGAGGATTTTCAGAAATTTATAAGAAATTCATGTTCAAGTCGTGCCTATGTTCAATTAAGTTAATCGCCGAACAAGTTTTATTTTCTTCCGGCAAGTCATGAACTATTATGTTCTTTTCAGCTTCTATTTAAAGTAAGAGGTCCAGTTAAGTGAAGTTGGTCGATGAAAAGTGAAGTTTTGCCGATGAATTGGCCAAAGCCGTCGCTAATGCCGAGGGCACATAGCTACGGGCGGCCACGAGGCATGAGCGTATAAGCTGAACATAAATTATGAGCAATTTCGTTTCCTTTAGCTCTTATTTAATGATTAAGGTTCAGATAAATGAGATCGGTCGAGAAAAATTAGCCTTATATTCATGTGATGGCTCAAGTAGGCGGGCTGCGCACATAACGCATGTCCGCGGGGCCGTAGACGGCTTGCTAGCCCTATCTTTCATTATGGCTAATTTGTCCCGACCAGTTTGTGGTTAAAAGTTCATTTTATGTTAATTGATAAGTGTTCAGTCCATGTTAGTCGAGAGATTGTTGAAATTGTTTGAGTTTTGGCCGAGGGCCGTAGGCCTCGCACATAGCGAGTGCGCCACGGTCGAGGGCTACGGTTTTGAAGTCAAGTTCAGCCTTTGCATGTTAAATCCAGCTTAATGGTCATTTCAGGTCTTAACATGTTAGTAAAAGTCAGTTCGGTCGAGTAGAATTG